GAATAGCAGAAGCAGCAAAAGCAGCAGTGGCTGCAGCACAAATTGAGGGGTTCAATTAGTATCAACCCCCCCGCCATCCCATCACCTGTGCAGCTGAATTAGGTTCTTTGCAGCTAAACACTCCTTTCCTCTTCTTTTCAAAGCAGATCAACAATTATTACCCTTCTGTACTTAGCCAGGCAAGCAACCCCACTCTTCACCAGGGTCAGCAGCATTAACAAACAGCCAGTCTTACTATTTCAAACCAGCACACAGTAGAAATTCAACCCATACAGCAGCTACCAACCGTACGTAAGCACCCTCCAGGCATTCCACAGCTTTCTCCACTCCTGCATGTTTTTATGTAACTATAGATAGCTCCTCTCATAAATCAGCAGATTAAGGGAAGTGTATAATTCATGCACTAATCCAGTGGTTTTTCAACCTTTTTTCATTTATGGACCCCTAAAAAAAAAAATTTCAAATGGAGGTGCGGACCCCTTTGAATTTAAGTGTGGGTATTAAAATACTTTTGATTGAGCGTAGTCTGCAAACCCGCAGGTGTCCACAGATTGAAAACTAGTGCACTAATCTGTACCATTCTCACCCATAACGTGAGCCACCTACATGACTTTGTAAACACTATGCACATGAATTCAGTGTGATTACGCATTTTCAAAGTTACTCCTTTACATGAGTGGTCAAAGGTTGAGGGCCAAATTATGTACATATTGGTGAACATAAACATTTACAGATATTTTGAGTTACTATTTAAATCATGAATGGCAAAGCTGTAAGGACACAGGCTGTGCTGTTCATGTCAAACAAATATATAAAATCTTTTTCATATACCAGATCATCGTATAGTGAGAGCTAAGTATTTTATTAACATCATCAAATTTGCAAAAGGTTTTATATTAGAAAAATAATCATAATATGAAATATTCTCCTATCAAACTGTTATTATTTAGTGCATATGTGTGTGCGCATGTGTAGATGTATATAGTACCAACAGTAATGACAGATAATAAGGAGCGAGCTAACTTTGTACCAAGAGGTCTAACTGCATAAGCTTAAGAAGAAAAAAAAGTATAAGTATTGTATTTTGAAAAGAAGAGACTCATGTTTTTTTAAAATGGTATAAATTGACATGTCTGGCCCAGTGTATCACAAGGTAACTGAATTTTCACTGCTCCAGAAATAAATACTATGATACCTTTTTGGTAAAACTTCTATATTAAAAAAGAAGCAAATATAGTAGATTAGAACTAAAAAAGAAAAAGGATGGAGCATTTATCTGAAGGCCATGCAGATTAGAGATAATCGTGTCAGAAATTAATTAGCATGGTGACGTAAAAACAATTAAAACTGGGAATTCCTGGGAATTCAACAAATATATCCGGGGTGGGCAAAATATGGTCCACGGGATGGATACAACCTGCCAGGTGATTTCATCTGGGCTGTGGGTGGGTACTATCCCACAGGTGACTGTATCCGGCCTGGCCCCGGGCTGCCCCTGCTTGTGCTTGCATGGGGCCGAGCCCCACTTACTCCTGCAGGGGCAGCACACACTGCGCTCCCTCTCTTGCCTGTGGTACATCCCTGACCCCAGCCCTGCAGGTGGGGAAGCAGTGGGG